TGAGACACAGCCATATAATAAAGTGGGTTATGACCAAATAGAAGAAGAAGAAGAAGAACCTTTATCAATTTATACTGCTCAGGGTAGCCCCTTCAGACACAAAAAGCTGTCTGTTATCAATGGCAGCCCTGAGCAACAATGCACAAAAACCACACTAAACATATAAACATTACACTAATACAGGTAATAATATAAATAGAAAACTATTTACAAGTAAAAGATTAAAAGATGTATAACATGAAATATCATTAAGATAACTCATTAAAAAGATTGCAACCATAATAATAGAAGGACCTTTCTGCAATCTCAGTTCTCAGTTCTCTTGACCAATCAGAGCGAGCGTATCTCTTTTAGCACCTGAGCACATTAAAACAAAACCCTGGCCCAAAGTTAGTACACTGCTTTCATTATTTCATTATTTTTCTTCTTTATCTTGTTAGCTAGAACTGTATGCCACATGAATTATGGGGTTATACCATAATCGTTACTCAGAGATCAATAAAAGTAACAGAGAATAAAACACAACTTACGTCCAGAAAATTTTTCAGAAACCTCTTCGAATCTTTGATGTCCGTTGGTGAGATGTGGCCATAACCTCCAAGCATCCCGTTGACAGTTGCAGGAATATTCTTAACAAAAAAATAACACTTTCAAAGAGATGAATGAAAAGGTTCTGCAACTCTAAAAGCTGAAAAAAAATTGGCATTTCACAAATCGAACCTCCCTCTTAAGATAAAAGTTGCCTAAATACTTCATAAAAGTTGTAAATAAAAATTGCGCCAGTTTTTTATGTTCAATAACCTCACGACGTATTTCTAATGTAACAAACTAAAATGTACAAATAACACTCATATTAGAGAACTAAATGGCTGTACTTACTTTCCAGTAATCTACAGCATCTCCATACCATTTCCCCCTGTCTTGCATTTCGACAGGAACGTCACTTTCTGCGGAAGCCATTTTTGTAGAAAGAGGGTCTACAAATTTATATATAACATTGAGCCTCTGTTTTATCCTAGATGAAACGAAATGCAAATTGTAAAAATTTTATGCTTGCCTTGATTTCTTTATTGTAAAGTCTTAAAGTCTTCGATCGAAATGGTAGATCTCCCCAAGAGGTCGGTGAATGTGTTATCTGTTCGGCGTAGAGCATGAGATGTCGTCCGCCGCAGCCATGTTTGATTATTTCGCGCGGGAAGAAAGAAACGGAGTGGGGTCTGTAACGAGCAAACCAAGTCTTTGTCGAGGTTATAACTCCCCGTCCCTCCCCCCCACATTAATTTTCGCGCGATTCTTTTGGCTACTTTACGTCACGTGGTACAAGACCACTGGACAGTTCTCATGCGTCGATATTTGTCCCCCGATTATTTCCGTCAAGAAGAGACAAGATCAATGGAAAAAGCTAACTCAAGAGTTTCATCTTTGTCACTTAACATGAAGAGTCAAGTGGTATTGAGATTAAAAAGCTGATCTCAGAATTTCACATTTGCCCTCGAAGCCTCGCGCCTCGCGCCTCGCAAACATGATCAGCCGACACATCAGTGGCCTGAAGGGGTTTATTTACTTGTCACCATCATGCCTTGAAGTGCTTTTGTCACATTCAATGCTTAGATAATGTACGGAGTGTAAACATCTGTCAGGAGACCACCCCCGCATCTATATTTTAGTCCTGGAAGAGGTATATTGAATATTCAAAAGCATTCCATGTGATCCGTCTTTGTTATAACATTTTCACTTCATGTGAAGGTGTAGTCTGATCGTCCGGGTGAGTGTAGTCCTGAGAAGGACTGTTGTCGGTGGTAGTGACTGACGTTTCGACAACCTGTGCGGAAGTCATCATCAGAGTCAAGTGAATGATTGTTGTCAGTAGAATGTTCTTATTCCAGTTCGTGTGAAATGATCGGTTGGTTTTGCCGTGATGTTATTGGCTGTAAGACTCAAGTGACGTAAGTCGGTCGTGATTGGTCTGTTTCGATCTGTCGGTAAAGTTAGGTCGTTCTTTTTCGGTCGTTTGTGATGTTTATGTCGTGAATGAGTCGTTTGTATGGAGCGGGTAGTTGTTGACATCTGTTTAGGGGAGTCTGTTCTAAGTTAGTAAACCAGCTTTCCAGAGTCAGTCGTTGAAAATAGTCAGTGCTGTAGGTTAGGCATTGCGCAGAGTCCCAGTCAATGTTGTGGTTGGTAAGTCGATGGTGTTCAGCAATGTGATTGCTGACATCACCTTTCCTCGTCGCCCGTCTGTGTTCAGTCAGTCTTGTTGTGAGGTTTCTGCCAGTCTCACCGATGTAGGAGGCTTGGCAGTCGGAACAATTGATCTTATAAATCGTTCCCTGTCTGTTCCTCGGTTCGTCTTTGTCTTTAACGTTGGTTAGTAACTGACGTAGTGTGGTGATGGGTTTGTGGGCGACGCGGATATTGAAGGGTAGTAAGATGCGCGAGATGTTTTCAGACATACCTTTTATGNACCGTACATAAAAGGCATGTCTGAAAACATCTCGCGCATCTTACTACCCTTCAATATCCGCGTCGCCCACAAACCCATCACCACACTACGTCAGTTACTAACCAACGTTAAAGACAAAGACGAACCGAGGAACAGACAGGGAACGATTTATAAGATCAATTGTTCCGACTGCCAAGCCTCCTACATCGGTGAGACTGGCAGAAACCTCACAACAAGACTGACTGAACACAGACGGGCGACGAGGAAAGGTGATGTCAGCAATCACATTGCTGAACACCATCGACTTACCAACCACAACATTGACTGGGACTCTGCGCAATGCCTAACCTACAGCACTGACTATTTTCAACGACTGACTCTGGAAAGCTGGTTTACTAACTTAGAACAGACTCCCCTAAACAGATGTCAACAACTACCCGCTCCATACAAACGACTCATTCACGACATAAACATCACAAACGACCGAAAAAGAACGACCTAACTTTACCGACAGATCGAAACAGACCAATCACGACCGACTTACGTCACTTGAGTCTTACAGCCAATAACATCACGGCAAAACCAACCGATCATTTCACACGAACTGGAATAAGAACATTCTACTGACAACAATCATTCACTTGACTTAGATGATGACTTCCGCACAGGTTGTCGAAACGTCAGTCACTACCACCGACAACAGTCCTTCTCAGGACTACACTCACCCGGACGATCAGACTACACCTTCACATGTTACCCCCGGGTTCAAGCCATTTACTGCATTTTCACTTCACTTACAATAAAATTTTACATCATGCGGACGTCTGTGGAAACGAACTTCCGCTTCATTCCGTTTGCCTCCAAGACTAAAGAAGTGAAATCCACTTATCCCCCCCCTTCCGACGCCCTGACTCTCCCTCTCTGCCCCTTCTTTTCTCTTGGCCCAAAACATTATCCTTTTTTTGAAAGTACGCACGGAAGACATATCTGGCTGTACGAGAAACTGTAAATCTTTATTAAAACTCTCTTAGTTGTGATAACATCAAGTCAGTGCTCGGACGAGGAAAACAGCAAGAATTACGTAGCAATTTTTTTTTTTCTGAGTAAGATGTTAGACGACTGAAATAGGTTTTCGCGGAAAAAAATTATCTAAAGCTCATGATGTTTAATTCCCTGAAATTCTTGGTGCGAAATGAAGCCGTCCTTATTCTTGTCCTCCTCGTGAAAGATCTCTTGTAACAGCATGTTATGGCTTTCATCGCCCTCGCCATTTGACATTCCCTCCCGCCTCAGATATCCTGCAACCTAGATACAGAAATAGCGAAATGAAAGACCATTCTACAAATAATGTCTTTAAGGGTTTTTTATTTTTTATTTTTTACCAGCATTAAGATCAAAATTAGTACGTATGACGGATGAACGGATCGTGCATCATACGCATCTATAACCGCAGTTCAAAATATATGAACTTAATATATTCATCGTATCAAAATTAGTGTTTGCTCATAGCCACCAAGGGAGGGGGGGTCATGAAATCTATAACTACCCCTGATGAAGGGAGATTATTATTAGAATACTACAGAGCCTTACGAGGGGAGTAAAGGGGATAAGGAAAATCTTATTGTGACTCTTGTAAAATCCTCTGTCACCCACTCTCCTCCCCCAGGTGACATATTATGACTGGTGCCTTGGAGGGGGTACTAGGGTTCACAAGAAATGAGCGTCGACGTCCTTTAGTGCTGCCAGGATCAACGGTGTCAAAGGCGTCCTGTGTTGAATAAAAGTCAGGCCCCTTTTAGCGAGTGCATCAGATTGAGAGCTTCCTCAGCTTCGCGGTTTAATAGCCATACAGTATACGCGGTTTGGCCAGGACGCTATTTTTTTCAGTCTTTGCGTCTGAAGGAGCCATCAGACAAAAAAAACAAATGCACTTGATTCGTGGCTTTAGCTAACAGTCTGAACGGAATGGAAGCGAAGAAGATGCTGGAAACTTGCCGAGGGAGGCGACCATGAATGGGAAATAACAATTTTTTTCAATAATAGTGGAAAAAAGGTCTTCAGGCGTATACAAAAGAAATCCTGCGGTGGATCCAGGATTTAGTCAAGGGGGGTTCGGAGAATTGTCCGAGGACATGCCCCCCCGGGAGATTTTGAAAATTAGGTCTTCGCAAACATGATTTCCAGTATTTTGAGGGAAAATTTAGGGGGGGGTTCGACCGAACCACCCGAACCACCCCTGGATCCGCCTCAGAAATCCTGAGTATCGCAAAACCTAACAAGCGTTAAGGAATTCACGGTGTCGTCTCTGGAACTCATTGATGCTCTTGGCCACTGGGACCTGGTGCGACAAATCAACTTGTGACAAGGCCTAGCTAGCTGAGAAAACAGATATAACCTGGGGACGAGTTGGGGACGAGGGGTTGGAAGGTCTGTGGACAGACATACAATATTCTCACCTCTGAATGTGAGATCATTCCATCACCATTGACATCAATCTCCTTGAACATGTTTGGCTTGCCGCTATCCTCCGTGGGGTCAGAGATTTTTAAGAGCTCTACATAAAATACCAGGAGTGCTCTGGGGGGTATTTTATCCCCAACGGGGTATTCTCCATATCCATACTGGGATGGGACAACAAGCTCACGGAGTTCTCCCACACACATATCTTTCACTCCCATGTCCCAGCCGGGAATAACTTGTCCCTCTCCGAGAGTAAACTCAAATTCACTGTAAAAGAGAAAAGAAAAGATTTTATTAAGAACAGACGTTTAAATGTGCGCTGTTAAGTTGTCTGATTACCTTTAAATCGCGTCCCCAGATCCTAGGATCTTCCCTGTCAGACGAAAATGACCGTGGAAAGTCTGAGAACTAGCCCTGATTTTCCGCGTGGACGAGCGAAGAGTGAGAGAGTTTTTCAAAACTTTTTAGTGGGAATCTCTAAGTGTTTGATTGACGTAAAAGAGATTTTAGTACATACTTATACGTTTGGAACACGCCCAGTGCAAAGAAATCTTTGACCAGGGCTCACAACGGATGAACTTATCAGTTATCAGTTGCTACCTATACACCGTCAAGTGGCGAGGTCCGAGTGTTCCGAAGCGAAACGGGAAATCCAAACAAACACTTTAATTCCAATACGGTAAACTATAGACTCACGGTAAACGACAACGACCATTAAACAAAACTGCCACTCGATAAACTAAAATTAAACTTTTCAACTCCCTCTAAAAAATTTGCACACGTCAAAATTAAAAGGTCCGCGTGATTTGCTTACGATATTATTAGCCTACGTAGTCCCAAAGCACGTGCACGCGAGTCGCACGCGCACAAGTTCTTTAATTTCTTCTTAACACCGAGCGTTTGAGCCCGCGAGCGATACCAACACGCGCGAGGTTCACGAGGGTACTGGCAGGAAAACGTGTACCAGACCCCTCAAAGATCTTTCGCGCGTTCGCTCCGCTAATCAGCTCAACATTTCGCCGTCTTTGCTGCCCATGCCACAGCCCTGAAAAAGATCCTTCTCGCCGGCTACGAATCCGTCGATGTTACAAATGGCTCAGTCATACGAATTCCACTTTTTTTCTAGTGTGATTCAGGTAGACATGATCCCAACTAAAGGTAAGTACGTCGGATAAAACTTGGTAGGTAATCTACAAACAAATTGTTCATCCTAAGCTATACATCTCGACCCGCAAAATTATCCAGAGTTGTTTCGTTATTTCCGCTTTGAAATCAGCCCCCCGATTTCGTTAAGTAGCTTGCTCGCTTGTACAGCGATCGCACGTGAAGCGAAATTTTTGAGACACGTTCGTAATTTCGCGAACGGGCCTTCTCAGACAGTGACTGAATTTGGATCTATATCATTAAGCTTTTTCAGTCCCGTTACCGGTTTGTTGTATCAATGCCTGCATGTTTCGTTACCCTGAATCGAATTAATTACTTAGCGTTGATATTAGGCAACAGATTGACAAACCATGGACTAAACTAAGAAAAAGCTGAAGACAGGTGAACTGAGTAAAAAGTTTTTAGTGTTCACCTAAATGATTGAGTCCTAATCGCTTGGACTTTTCCCTAAAAGCTCCTCAAGGAACAAAAAAGAAAACAATGAGAAAGTTGCAGCCAGTGGGTGAAGTTAGTAGGTAAACAAGTAAGTTATGGAAATAATTTGGCTGAAGAAGTCTATGAGAAAATATAGATTTATCTAACAGGAAGATTGTACTTGCGAAAGCGGGAAGTTCTTGCTCACCTTGTAGCTAAAACTGGAGTTTGGTCAATCAATGTATTGTTGTATCTGACCGTCAAATGGTCTCCATCTTTCGACTCCCTTGGGCAGTTGTCTGGTTTTCGCATTATTCCAACTGATAAATGATCTCGTTCTTGTTCAGGTCTTTCATGCGCGAAGGCATACACGAACAAACAGGCCATAAATGCTAAAGAAGTTAAACGCAGGAGGCTCATTTTCGACCGATTTAGAATTTAGACCTGGGTAACAAAGAAAAGTTTGAAACGAGCGTGAAAATAAAGACTACGCTGCACAAGCACGTAAGCTGTTCAGCTTTTCTCCGCTGCAAATGCGAATTACAACAGATCTCTCGTCGACAAATGACAGCAGATTTGAATATGTCCACGTAGTGTTTAAGCCAACCAAAAGATTTAAACGTGGACGCAGGTTTAATCAATATTCATATATAGCTGGCAAACTGGAACATTCATACGAAGAACCCCATGTTACCAAGGAACGAACGTCACTCAGTATTGAAAAGAAGACAGCCTTTCTCTTCATAATTCTAACAAACCGTAAGATTTTTGGTCAACTGGACTTCTTGGTGAAAAGAAAAGGAAAAATTATGGTTAAGATCGTTACTTTATCAACAAAACACAGAAATTTGATCACCATAAATCATAAATCTTCATAAAACTTAAAAAACCGTAACTTTTCGGTCAACTGGACTTCTAAGTGTAAGAAAAAGCAAAATTGTTGTTAACATTGATACTTAATCCGTAAAACACACAGGAATTCGATCACTGGTACAGGCCGCGGAGAGCCTCAATCATTCGCAGAATATTACCCTTAGTAAATCGAACTTTAGTCTGCCCTAAAGTTTGAAAAAGATTGAAGAAATAATCGGCAATGAGGAATACACCAAACAAGATTTTACTAATCTCGCGTTACACTCGTCTAAATTAAAAAAGACCCATGAAGAAAAACCTCTAGAAAGTCATAGAAAATTTTTCTCTTCATTATAGGAAACACTCCTGATAATTCTATGGACGAGTGATTCTCTTCCGAAATCAAATGCAGTCTTTTGTGCACTGAATTGGCGTTTTTGTTTGCGCAATTTGTGCCAAAACAATTCTTAGACGTATTTACGTTCTGATAACAGGAGCTATTATGAATTTCAACCTATTACGCTCTCTGCCCCCAGAACAGCTCTTGATGAAACATGATTCAATTAATCCTGCCTAAATTCCTGAGAGTTATCGTTCACTGAACTTCTTTGATCTGGTAAATAACTCCAAGGAATAAATTTGCGGTTGTTCGATAGTGAGATTACAATAATAATTGTTTATAATTCTCTGAAACAATTATGCATAAGCATTAAAAACATAACAAAAATAGATGAGTCTACGCACTTCACACGAAAGGCGAGCAGAAGTTTCCTCGCTACAAATGTTAACATGAATTTGCAAGCCAACAACACGCTCGACGATAAGACTTTCCAAGGGCAAAGATGTGTGTCTCATTGAAGTACAATTTATCGTCTTTGAAGCCAGTGTACACAAACCTTGCAAGCTAGGCAAGGTGAAACTGATTGATGGTGGAGTTTTTCCAGACGACTTGATAACTTTGGAAGGTCTCAATTGGGTTAACCGAAAAAAATAACTGTTAGGCGTCAATAGAAATTGACAACTTTTTACCCGTGAGCCGTAAAAAATAGTTAATCATTGAAATCTTTAGGTAGCCGAAAGGGAAAGAAACTAACCGTCCAGGCCGTAAAATAGCCAAAATTTTAACCGTTGGCCAAAGTAGCCATCACAATGTAGACTTATTCATACAAAAAAGAAATACATTATGTCGATCGCCAATTGATGGAAATTTTGAAAACTTGGGAGATCGTTCCATAGACTCAGAAGGTAAAACCATACTGACACTTGGTCAAGAGCACTTTACGACACTCCATCCAATTTAAGTGAGACGAGGCCGGAACCAAGCCAATCTTGACGTCAACTAAATGAATACGATGTTCATTACGCCCTTTGTAATTGACCATCCGAGTCCTACACAAGTGTATTATTTCATCAGAAGCTCTTGATAGTCTCTTTGTCCCCCGGCGAGCGATATCAAATCTTACGTACAGAAACTTTACAGATACTAGAACGGTTTGTATCGGAGCGAATGAGTATTGCAAAATCAAATCTGACAAAGGTATTGTAATTGCTGATTAGAAATCATGAAAGAAAATTCCAAATCACAAAGAGCAGCTGAGAACTTCCTGAAGCGCTTCCTTTCTAATCAGACGCATCAGCCGAACAGGGCTAGAGCAGACGTTCTGGTGCATCCATGATTGATCATAAACAACAAATATTTTCGTCCTTTATTGGTGTGTATTTTGTTCTTCCAGTTCTGGCAGAGAATTTCAACCATTTCATACCTTGATCCTGAGGATTTCTTAATTACTATTACCGTGCGAAAACCGAACGAGTTGGTCAACTGAAAATTTCCGTGATGAGTGATGCCCAAAGAGAAAAATGAGCTTTTTACAAGCAAAATGTAATTGTCAAACAGGGCTGGAGCAGAAGTTCTGGTCCATCCATGAGTGATCATGCATAAGAATAATTGCGTCTTAATCTATTTGCCTTGAGTAAAGTAAGAAAAACCTGAACGTTATCCCTAAAAACATCATGCTTTTAAATTACACCTGTTATGAGGAATACTTTGCTCTTTCAGGTCTTGCAGCGAGTTTTGACCTCCTTTTTTTTACCTCCGTAAAATGTTGCCGAGTGATGAGGTTTGCTGAAGGGGAAAAATGAGCTTTTACGAGCAAAAAATTCACATAACTGACTCATTAATCAAACAAGGTCGGTGCAGAAGTTCTTGTCCACCCATGAGCGATCGTGACTGGGATAAACATTGCGGAAAATTAAGATAGTTAATTGCCGCCCGTTTATTTTGTGACTTTTCGGTGTCATGTTTTAATGACTCCAGGAAGAATATAAACGTGCCCGCTTATGATTCTACAAACGCACTCTGGAAATCGGTCAGGTTAACTGAAATTTTTCCGTTATGAGTGATACTCAAAGAGAAAAACTGAATGAGCATTTTACAAGCAGAATGTAAGACCCAAACAGGGTTGAAGCAGAAGTTCTGGTCCATCCATGAGTGATCATGTATAAAAATACTTCCGTCTTAATTAATCTATTTGCCCTGAGTAAAGTTCTGCTCCATCCATGACTGATCATGAATAAGAAGTATTTTCGTCCTTTATTCATGCGTATTTTGTTCTTCCAGCTCTGTAAGAGAATTTCAACCATTTCATACCTTGATCCTGAGGATTT